TTTAGAGCAATCGTTTGGTGCTAATGTGAAAGATGGATTCTTAGGAAGCTTTTATTGTGAGAGAGAAGATTACAAGTGGTGAGGCCTAAATAATAGAAATGGAGAGGGAGAGAAATAGAAACATAGAGGTGGAATCTGCAGCTCATAGTGACTAGCTGCAGAGGTGAGGGAGGAGGGAGAAGGAATCATGGCTGACCTCCGGTGTAACGGCCTGAGCAACAGGATGATGCTGAGGCCCTTCCTGGGATAGCGAGCCTAGAAAGAAGAGGACAAGAGGGCTGTGATGGGGCAGAATTAGAGAGGGTAAAGATGAATCCAGTTTTGGGTGTGCAGAATTACCATTATACTTTTTTCTTTAGATTAAAAACAAATTTTTTATTGGAAAGTACAAAATGGAAAGTAAATTGTAGCTGAAATACTGTTTCTTATGCTTGTATAAATTAAATTTCTTGAAATGTTTAGTTTTTAATTGACTGTGGGGCCTAATGAGGCTGGAATTTTTTTTTTTTTGAGTGTCACCAATTTGCTTTTCTTCTTCTCTGTAGAACTATATATGGTATAGTCTTCTTTATGAGCTCCTCTCCCTTGCAACCACTCACCATTCCAATTGTTATTTTTTATTTTTTAAATTTTTAAAATATTTTTTTATTTATTCATTTGAGACAGAAAGAATGAGCAAAAGCATGAGCAGGGAGGAGGGTCAGAGGGAGAGGGAGAAGCAGACTCCCCCTTGAGCAGGGAGCCTGACTTGGGGCTTGATCCCAGGACCCCAGAATCATGACCAGATGATGCTTAACTGAGCCACCCAGGTGCCCCTAGTTGTTTTTATTTTTATTTTTATTTATTTATTTATTTATGATAGTCACAAAGAGAGAGAGAGAGAGAGAGGCAGAGGGAGAAGCAGGCTCCATGCACCGGGAGCCCGACGTGGGATTCGATCCTGAGTCTCCAGGATTGCGCCCTGGGCCAAAGGCAGGCGCCAAACCGCTGCGCCACCCAGGGATCCCTAGTTGTTATTTTTTAAATACATTTTTTATTTTAGAATAGTTTCAGACTAGAAAAGTTGCAAGGATAGTATAGACCATTCCTTTGTATCTAGCATCCAATTTTCCCTATTGTCAGCATGTTAACATAACAAGAGTTACAACTAATCAACGAATACTGATACATTATTAGTAACTAAAGCTCACTATTTATTTGAATGTCCTTAGTTTGTACTTGGTGTCTCTTTTCTGTTCTAGGACCCCAGCCAAGATACCACACATTATTTTTGGTCATCGTGGTCCTTAGACTCCTCTTAAATGTTACAATGTCTCAGATTTTTTAAATTTACTTTTCTTACTTTTGATAACCTTGACAGTTTTAAGGGGCACTGGCCAGATATTTTGTAGACTGTTTTTCATTTTGAGTTTGTCTATTGTTTTTATCATGGTAGACTGGGTTTATAATGTCAAAATCCAAACTATACACTGAATTAAAAAAAGCAGAGAGCTGAGTTTATTGCAAGGCTTTCTACCTGCAAGCTGGAGAACTCAGGGCAACTGGAGAAATGAGTTTCAAGTCTAAGGGATTTTTCATGGGGTAAATGTGGAAGTTTTTTTTTTTTTTTGTTCAGATAATTGGTTTCCTAGTGGTCTTCTTTCTTGTTTGGATTAGGGTAGCTGAGTCAGGGGAATGAGGAATTCCAGAGATGGCATGAATTGACTTGGCCTTTGGGAATTGGCTGATGTACTTGCCGATTTCTGAGAAGAACTGTAAATTCCTCTAAGATTAGGTTAAGTGTCCTTTATATGCCTGCACTGACCATCTCCATTTTGTCTCTGACATAAGTGATTCCATTTTTGTTTGGTTCTACAATGGGTTTGGGGGAGTAAGACCACAATGTTAAAGTGCTTAGTTCCGTCATATCATATCCAAGGTACATACTATGAACATGACTTATCCCTATTGATGTTTACCTGATCTCACCTGGTGAGGTAGCATTTGTTAGGTTTTTCCCATATAAAGTTTCTCCTCACCTCAGTCCCCTCCTCTTTTCCATAATGTAAGGAAGTCTTAATCGTCTTGATGTCATTGGCATAAAGGCATGGTCTTGCACAGAGTAGACATTCAGTAAGTGTTGAACTGAACTGGGTCTCTATTATTTTGTAAGTCTCAGAAAAGTCCTGCCAGATAATTTTCTTTATTTTATCAATAAGAAAGTAAAAATTTGAGAATTCAAGTAATTTGCCCAAAGTTACACAGTAAGTAGTCAGATTTGGTATTTCAACTCATTCTTTCTGAATGCAAAGCCTGTCATCTTTCCCTATACCACTCTGGCTTCACGGAGGGTTGTGTTTACTTTGGCCATTTTCCCTAAGTAATTGTAATGGAGAAGTATCAATAGATAATGGGGGTTCGCTCTTTGGTTATATGGAAATTTAATTTTTCATTAATTCATCTTTTCAATTTAAAGTCATACTTCAGACCTCTCAGCCTCAAATTAGGGAGACCTCTGTGCCATGTTTGCTTGATCTGATTCTAATGGAATATCTTCTTTTTAATTCCCTACAGAGTTGTGGAGGGTGGGTTGCAGCAGGGCCTTACTGGGAAAGTGGGTACTAATTAGGATGCTATTACAATAGAATAAAATTGGCTACATAATTTGTGAGTCTCAGTGCAAAATGAAAACATAGGCCCCCTTATTAAAATATTATTAATAATTTTAAGACAGTGACAGCAAAGGCTCCAAGCATGGAGCCTTTCTAAGTGTGAGACTGTGTGTGACTCCACCGGTCACACACCTGTGAACCTGGCTGGGCAATAGTAGAACTGGTAGCCAATATTAAAGCAGTGGAAGTAAGAATGAGAAGAGAGGGTAGTAACACAAGACATTACAGAGGTAAACTTGTAGGAATAGATTGATGGTCAGATATGATAGGTGAGTGGGCAGATAAAATACGGAATGTAAGGTTTCTGATGGATGATGCCATTTACAGACACAGGGCATCAGGTGACCTGATTTACTCTGAGGGGAAAATGGTAAGTTCAGTTTTAAACATATTAACATCTACATGTAGTCAGGAACCACTTGGATATACAAGTATCCATAGAAAAAGAGCTGGAGGATAATACTCCAATTTGATAGTACTGCTTACTTATCTCTGAGACTTTAACTTTTTAAAGAAAGCATTCAAGTATTTCTTATATAATTGAGAAATAATATTTTTATTAATGAAAATTACAAAATATTATTGTGTTTGTAAGAGAAAAATCAATCTGAAAGTAAAAGTATGTAGAAGTTTGTAGTAAAAAGAAAGGTACTTATGGGATGCCTGGGTGGCTCAGTGGTTGAGTGTCTACCTTTGGCTCAGGTCTTGATCCTTGGGTTCCAGGATCAAGTCCCACATCAGGCTCCTTGTGAGGAGCCTGCTTCTCCCCCTGCCTGTGTCTCTGCCTCTCTGTGTGTGTCTCTCATGAATAAATAAATAAAATCTTAAAAAAAGAAAGGTACTTATGATAGAAATAGATTTGTAGCCATGTATTCTCTGTTGCCAATACCACAGTGCAGGATTCAAAATAGGCTCTTATTTTACTGTCTTAACTTTTTGTTGAGCATCCACAATTTATTGGTTGCTCTACAGAGTGTATAATTTTGAAAACATGTTTAAAATTTTTAAAAATAAAAGTTTACATTAGATTTTATTTTTACATCCTATCTCTTATGTTTTTTATAACTGGCATGTGATATTTTATATTTTAGTAGTATATTTTACAACTTTCCTTTCTTTTTACAACTTGTGTACTTTTTCTTGGGGGAGGTGACCGGGCAGTAGGGACAGCCTGAAGTTGAAAGTCAGGTTTAAGTTCTGGCTCTGCATATGACTGGCTATGTGATCTCAGGAAAATTACTGAGCCTCTCTGAGCATAGTTTTCTTATTGGTAAAGTGGAGATGAAATTAACTATGCTGGAGATGTGATAGTTAATTAAGACTATACAAGAAAGTTCCTTGTAAATTCTAGATTTTACAAATCCATACCTTTAGCTTTATACCCAGGCCAATGAGCCTCCCATCTCCTTCTCAGATTCATCTCCCAGTAGTCTACCTCCTCAAAGTTGATTTCTCATCATTACCTGAACATGCCTTATTCTTTTCTGCTTTTTTTTTGCTCTAATTCATTATTTAATCAACAAATGTTTATCTTCCTCAAGGCTTTGTTTAAATGTCACCTTCTCAACGAGCCCTATAGGGTCTACCCTATTAAAAATTGCAATCTGCTATTCCTCCTCAGCACTTTCAATTCCTTCTCTGCTCTACTTTTTCTTTTTTTCCATTGCACTGATGATATAACATATTTATTGTCTCTTCTCTCTCTGCCTCTGTTCCAATTGAACTAAAATTTCACTTGGGCAGGAATCTTTGTTTTATGATATATCCCAGGCATCTAGAACATTGACTGGCACAGGGTAGGTACTCAATAAATATTTACTGAATGAATACATGAATATGCATTGTGCCCCCTTTAAAGTGCCAGGCCTTAGGGTGACAAGTATTAAGGAGAGCATTTGATGGAATGAGCACTGGGTGTTATACTATATGTTGGCAAATTGAATTTAAATTTTAAAAAATGCAAAAAAGAAAAAGAAAAAAAATAAAGCACCAAGCTGTGTAGGTAACTGAAAGAGGTCATGAAGTCTATGTTACCTTCTCTTTTTCTTTTTCTTATGTGAAGGACAATGATTGTAATTTTTCACACTGTTGAAGAATGAAAGGATGCGAACATGTCTTTTCTGTCTTTTTATTTGTAAATTGTGGAATGCCTCATCCATGTGATCCTGACTTACTTCTCTTTTGAGGTCCTCTGTATGCAGTTGGTCAATATAAGTTTTTATATTGATAGAACTCTTTTTAAAGAAAAAAAAAGAGCTCAATCAGTGTATTTAAAAATAATCTGCTGCTCCAGCACACTTAAAACAATGTGTCAGCAACTATTCTTTTTCTCACCCTGTTCTCACATAGGCAGCCACGCAACCCAGGGAAAGTCCAAGGCTGGGGGTCTACCTGCAAGATAGAATGAAGAATTAAGGAAGAATACTGCTGCACAGGTATGCAATTGAACTAAATGATTCTTAGTATCTGCTCCAAACTGAGACACTTGATCTAGATCATTTTAGTTTCTAAAGCTTGCTTGTTCTCCTTTATTTGAATAATTCAGTTATATATATATATATATATATATATGTATATATACACATACATATATATGTATGTATATATATATCTATCTTGTAGGTAAATATTTTAATTCTTTTTTTTTTAATAAAGGCCCATAACCTTTATTTTTTTTTTTTAAGATTTATTTATTTATTTATCATAGACAGAGAGAGAGAAAGAGGCAGAGACACAGGAGGAGGGAGAAGCAGGCTCCATGCTGGGAGCCTGACATGGGACTTGATCCCGGGACTCCAGGATTGCGCCCTGGGCCAAAGGCAGGCGCTAAACCGCTGAGCCATCCAGGGATCCCCATAAATATTTTAATTCTTTACCTCACTTTGAAATCAAGTATTTTCCAATTTTATTTTGATATTCCATTTGAATTTCCTTCTCTGCACATAAATTCTGATGTAGATATGAATTATTTGTGCCCCTGATCTTTTTGTCAGAAAAAAATTGATGAAAGGAAACTCGTGGAAGTAGCCTCAATTTGTTGTAAACAGTTTCTGTGGTGTCCCATGAACTTATGAGATGACATAAAAAATCTACTCTGCGAGATTTTTTTTTTTAGTATCTTTTACTTGGCAGCAGTTTAATTTTGTTTAATGATTGTCACTATGAATAAATTCTATAACATCCTTAACAAAGCAAAGAACAAACAAAAGATACAACCCAAGAAATGAGCCTTTTGCAAGGTCTTCTCTAATGCCCTTAACAGAATTATAAGCACTCTGTGTTCCCACATCATGCTGTGGACACACCTCTAACATAGCATATATATGAATGTATATAGTATATTATAAACATTGATGGTGATGTTTCTTCCATAAGGGTTCATAGTCATTTCTAAGGATAGAAAAATAACCCAAAAAACAAACAAAAAAATCACACACACACACACACCTCAAGATGCCATAAATTAAAAGTGCAGAGAATGAAGAAATAAAAATGTGGGTAGAGACAAAACAGAACCAGGGACAAGGCTAATAATGCATGTAGGAATGACCTTCACATTTGCTATAGCTGGGCCATGAATTTATCTCTAAGCTGACAGCCTCATTGGTCCCACAGTTCATGGTGTCCATTGATAAAAAACAAACCCATTATTCTGCAAAAGTAAAACTATTCCCTTAATTGAGATCAGATTGGACTGTTTCCCAGGGATGCTCTTAAGAGAACATTGTGTTGTATCAGAAGCAGTGTCCTTGACAGCATCACTGACAGGGTGGCCATTTCATAAGGATGCCTCTTATAGCTGGATGGCAGCACACCCAAAAAAGATTCAGCAGGTTACACTGAGGCGGGGGGCTGTCTCAGTGATCATAGATAGCATCACAGGTTTTATCTCCCACACCTAGGACAGTTATTGGCATATAGCAGGGAGCAAAAAGTATTTGTTGAAGGAATGTCAAATGGAGAATACCCAGTTTGAAGACTTTCTCTAGAAAGGCCCCTGTAGGGCATTTGGGTGACTCAACCAGTTAAGCATCTGCCTTTGGCTCAGGTCATGATCTCAGCATCCTGGGATCAAGCCCCACATTGTGCTCTCTGCTCACCTGGAAGCCTGCTTCTTCCTCTCCCTCTGCCTGCTGCTCTTTGTGTTCTCTCTCTCTCTCTCTCAAATAAATAAAACCTTAAAAAAAGGCCCCTCTAATTTCCAAGACTTAAAATCTTGCTCCCCAACTCTGTACCCCTTTTGTAGTTATCTAACAATACAGCTGTGAAATAATTCTTCTACTCTTGAGTTAAACTGCCACTTCGGTATTTTTTTAAAAAGATTTTATTTACGAGAGAGAGAGAGAGAGAGAGAGAGAGAGAGAATGCACAAGATTTTATTTATGAGAGAGAGAGAGAGAGAGAGAGAGAGAGAGAGAATGTAGTTGTCTGCACAGGAGAGGGGCAGAGGGAGAGGGAGAGAGGATCTCAAGCAGAGTCCACACTGAGCATGAAGCCTAACCCAGGGCTTGATCTGAAGACCCTGAGATCATGACCTGAGCTGAAACCAAGAGTTGGACACTTTTTTTTTTTTTTATAAAAGAGTCGGACACTTAACTGACTGCACCACCCAAGTGCCCTGCCATTTCACCATTTTAATGTTAAATTTCTTATGTTTTCTCCACATATGAGAGGCCAGAGGCATTTGTCTGTGGTGGTGGTGGTAGTGGTAGTATTGGGTTAGGAAAGTACTGTACTCATCAGATTGGGAAGTCAGTTTGCAGGTGACCTTGAGAGTGCCACTGGCTTAAATCCAGACTCCCACACCCAGGCTTTCCTTTAGAGGAGAAGTAGGGCTTATGATGATGCCAGGGTGTGCCTTTGCCATAGTTTTCTATGCTGAGCTTCAGGAAGATGCAGTGATAGGTTCAGTAGCACGGGCATCAAAAGAGACTCAATGCTGAGATGGCAGCCACTGTCTCACAGCTTTTTATAGCCCTGTAGGGGGAATGGGGTTGACCTGAGTTCACAGGTTGGTGTTTAGTCATTTTACCTGGCAGGGTTGGAGCTTTGGGGGTAGGGTCTGGCATAAGGGATATCACCACCTCTCATTCCTGATGTCATTGACATTGTAAAGGTGTTTCAGAGCAAGAACCTGGTCTCTGTGTCCAGCTTTCTTTCTATCTACAGAGTCATGGTCATATCTAAATTATGACAATGTTCTTCATCTTCTGATGTGTCACCTTACCTTATTCTTGTTTCAGCAGCAATGGCACTGCACTGCCAGACTTAGGATAGGAATCTGGGAGAGATAATGTAGTGGCTAAGAATATGGATTCTGGAAACTGACTTCCTCGGTTTGGATCCTGGCCCCCCAATAAGCAAGTTATTTATCCTTTCTGTGTCTCAGTTTCCCCATCTGTAAAAGAGGATAATGGTAGTACCTAGCATATAGGATTATTGTGAAGATTAAATAGTTAATGAGTTAATATAAAGTACAGGTATCTACAAGTAGTAAACATTATATAAGCATTTGCTAGTAATAATGGTCAAAGAATTACTATCTTATGCAAATACAGGAACTAACATAGCTAGTAAATCAACATGATATTGACTTACTAAAATGTTGATTGAGTGCATCTTATGTGCTAGGGGCCTTTATAGGTCAATGAGACAGTGTTGACTATGACAAACATAATCCTCCCTTACAGAGGTTGCAGATGAATGAGAGCACAGACATTAAGCTAACAATTACACAAGTATGTAAGGCAGTTCTCTTAATGGGGAAAATGAACCTTGACCTGAAGTTCATATATTTCAGTCTTAAGAATTCCAGCATACAGTGGTGACAGTGTCCCATATATATATATTTTTTTTTTTTTAAAGAAAAGGGTATTCTAATACTGTGGGACAAATTGCCCCCAAAATGTAACAAGTTATTTATTTACTCAAAATTCTGCTATCAGGGCAAGGCTTAGCAGGCATAGCTCATCTTTGTTCTATGTGGTGACTGCTGGGATGGTTCAACTAGGGCTAGAAGGTCCTTCCAAGCTGGGCCATTCACATGCTGTCTGTTAGCCAGGAGCTCAGCTGGGATGGTTGGTTGGGACCCCAGTTTTCTTTCACATGATCTCTTTACGTGACTAAGCTGGGTTTCTCATAGCATGACAGCTAGGTTCTGAAGAGAAGCACCCCAAGAGGATAGGCCACAATATACAAGCATTTAGCAAGGCTTGTACTTGTTAATGTCTCACTGGCCAAAGCCAGTCCCTTGACCAAGTCCAGAGTCAGTGTAGGAGGGACTATAGAAAGGTGAGAATTCTGAGAAATGAGAATCAATGGGGTCTAGTAAAGTAATAGGTTACCACAGAGAAGCTAAATCTACCTTTTACAAAAAAATGTTTTTGTTCTTTTTTCTCTTCAATCACATTTACCATATCCACTATCTCCAAGATATTGGGAGAAGTCACATAGGTGGAAAGTGACGTCTTTTCTGTATCAAAAGCTCTTTGGAGAGTGGTTAAAAACATTTGTTACAAACAATATCATTTAGAGTTATATTATTCTATGTGTGTAGAAAGAAAGAGTAAACTTCATTAAACTGTGTTATTTTGATATGCAGAGATGGAGCTTTGCTGGCAAAATGAGTGACAAGGTAGGAGGGTTTTGTGGTTGTCTGCATAGTGTAAAAGCATAGACATACAAATCTGTTGCCAAGAGGAGCCAAACCATGGTCAGGAAAATGCCACTGGGCGTCCAGTCTGAAGTATAAAAGCAGCTAGGTCAGTATGTGGCAGGAAGGATACCGACAGGCTTGGAAGAATAGAATAGCTTAGGGGTAAGTCTGTGAAATGTGAAATTATGCTGGCTGCTTGCTCACTAGTTTGAAAGTCCCTTAAACTGTGGAGCTGTGTCTGGCTTAACTTCTCCATCCTCAACACTTAGCTCTCTGCCTGATACAGAGGAGGCACTCTAAGTGGTGAATGGATACAGACATTAAGGTTTGAAGGAACAGCAGAATTGTAAGCCAGTCCCTCTTTTTAAGATTCTGATGCCATGAAATAAATAGAATGGAATGATCCTTTAGAAATATGTCACTTCAATAAAAATTGGTGGTGGCAGAGCTCCAAAAAAAAGGTTACTCCTCTGCTTAAAATCCTTTGATGATTTCCTTTTTCCACCTAGATATCCACATGACTTCTTCTTTTAGGTCTGTGCTCAAAAAAGGCCTTTCATAATATTCAAAATATCCACATTACTTTCTATATTGCTTTTTCCTTATAGCATTTATCTTTACATGACCTATATATTTCTTTATGGTCTGCCCCTCCCCATTAGATTGTTAGCTTTTTGAAAGCAGGAACTTTTTGTTTAAATTTGGTAGCCATAGTACCTAAAACAATGACAAGTAGGAGGTGCTCAGAAATACTTGTTGAGTGAATGAATAAATGTATCA